AAAAAAAAAACCAAGTGGCATTGAGCTGAGGGCTGTGTTAAATTAGCATGGGTTTTTTTAAACAATGCCTCTAAGGAAGCACCCTAAGAATAAATCCAATTCATCTGCAAAATAGAATGCAGAGTCAAAGCAGCCAGCCTGGTAAAGCATTAAAGCCACTGCCTAATTGTAAGCATGCAAATACCCACATTATCAGGGCAAACAGAACCAGTCCCATGGCTAAAGGAAGGCATTTGCTTAAGTTCACCAGACTGGAGTTCATGACTTTACTGCAATGCTCGGGAAGGCTGGCGACTCCTGGTGCCGGGGCAGCAGCAGGAGGGCACTGCACCAGTGCAAGCAGCACAGCTGCACAGGCAGGGCATGGCAGCAAGCAGTTTTCTGCTCCAGCACTGCAGCGCTCAGCCTGACATATGGACTTGGCGTGCTGCTGGCCTCAGACAGCTCGTCAGTCAGACTGCGAGGCACAGGGGCCGAGGAGCGGCAGGGAGGAGCAGTCAAGAACTTCACACAGCCATTCATCACAATGCAGCAAGACAAGGCACTGGGCAGACTCCTGCAACATTTCCAGCATTCACCTGATGATTTCTTTCTAATCCTGGAGTTATTTGAAAATGCAGGAGGTACTGTATTATCCACCAGAAGTCTAGCAAGGCAGGTTTTGTGACTTGCAACACCAGACAAAGGCTCTTCAATGAGAGCACAGAACTAATGTTAATGAGTTTATCAATGGATACCACCCTTAAGAATGCCATTCTTTGCACAACTTGATAGAAACCTGAATGTGCATGCAGCAACCTTCAGAACAATCTAAATCCATGCTCTGACATGGTAAGGAACAGGGTGCTTTGTTTCCAGAGAAGTGGCACAAATGTGCATATGAGAAGACCCAGTAACACAGCCCTGTGTTAGCCAGGTGGACCAGGGCACTGGTCTCTACTCCAGTGTAATATGATTGGCACAGCCATGACATAAATGTGATTTGTTTGTTGTTGTTATTACCGTGCCAAAGCAGATCAGCTTGAGGTTACCAAATCCCACCAAACATAAAACTAAGCTTACTTCATGCGCTAGAACAAACTTTGTTATTCATACAGCCTTTTGCGAATTAACATCTCCATTAGCAGTTTTCTTTAGCAGTTTTTGTCCCCCTGGATATTAGTCTAATAGTAAATACAGCAGTCAAACAAAAGATGAAAAGGAACAATCCTAGTAAACTGAGTGCAGTTTGTTTAAGACACATGAAACACAAAGAAGAAAAAAAACAAAAGCTTGAAAAAATGAATTCAAAACAAAGCATGAGTGGTTTCACTAAGAAATAAAGTGCACCAAAGATTTTTCTTATTACATTTCCTTTTACATTGTAGTCATTACAAATTATGATTTTTTTTTAATTTTTTTGATCACATGTATTTTAAAAGAAGTTTTAATTTGCTTGAGTACGTGTTTTGTCCTGGAGCAAATTTTAATGGCTTAGTTATAAATCCTGAAATTTAGGGGTTTATAATGGAAATGCTGGCAGGTCTGTATCTAACACATTGCAAGCATTTCAGCAACACAGTTTGTAGGCAGGTGAGTGCAGCAGAAATCTTTATGGCATTAAGTAATGACAGGAACTAAGCAGAAGTGGCTAATGTGTAAACTGTGGCCCATGCCTGCTCAGTGCTTGAGACTACAGAGCAGCTGGTACCTTCCAAAGGGCACCCTCAGTCTGAGCCTCAGAACTTCTACTGCACTGTTCAGGATAACACGTGAGTGAGCCCCCTGTTCCAGGTCACCTTTCCCTCTTTCTTTTCCTTGCATCTAGAGTTACACCAGACTCTTCAACACACAGTCTGCACAATATATGATTTAAAAGTCTTCCACACTCAATAGCCATATTAGCATAGATTCTTCTCCTGGGAGCTGCTGAAATAATGACATTTTCTTTGTTTCTTCACGATTGTATGGTTTGCATAAAAGCTATAACTAGCAGCTTTCCATCTGCCTATGATCCAAGTTCTGAAGTCCTTCAGCAGATAGCAGAGATAATGAGAAAATACTAGTCAGTACATCACACCTCAGACAGCTATCAATAAAACTTTACTCTGCAAACTTTGTTAATTCATGAGTAGTCCAGAAGGATAGAAGCACTGATATTAGACACGATTATGAGGTGACATTGGTATGATAGGCAGATGTTGCTCTGCAATGACATCAGTCTTCTGAGAAGAATAGAAGGGATCATTCTGTCCTTTTGTTATTTTTAAGGGTACCTTACCTTGTTTAACAGAGCATTCAAATGCAAATCACAACATTTAACATTACCACAGCCCTTTGCAAAAAGAAAAAGAGGCACTGAATCGATAAAAGCTGCACGTTTTGTAGGAGTGGTGTCTTATAGCAACTGATGAGGTTCCTGTAGTAATACTCATTCCAGCATTAAAGAACAAAAGATGCAAATACGATGCAAGCTGCAGCTTTCATGTAAATTGTCCCTGTAACCAAAATTCATTATCATGACAATCACAGCTGCAAGAAGTAAAACTTTTAAAACACTCCAAGAGTAAAACTTTCATGTTCCTAAAGTTTTAGTACTAGTATTTGTTTTGGTACATGCTCCACGAGGTCTCTAGACTAAGAGGAAATTTTTCAAATAAAAGAAGGAATCAAATTTTTTATCCCTTTGAAGGCCAACTCTGCATGTCTGGAAAGCCTTGTGTCTCTGTTATGCATGAAGGTAGATTAGAAACCCAAACCTTGGAGATCCTGGTGACTTCCTTAAATACAAAGACTAACAATGCCAACACTTACCCACTGAAAACAAAGTTAACTATCATTGTCTTAAGAAAAGGAAGCCTTGGGCCCCAGGATGTGTACTACATTAGCATGCCCTTCCATTAGTAGGAGATAATTCCAGTGACACAACTTTGTAGTCATTCATTAGACTTGAAGTCATTCCAGCTCCTGGGAGTTCAATGACCCTGCTATGTAGTAACACTCCCCATAGGTAAAGCAGTAGCTAGGAACTAATACTACTATTAAAGAAAGAAAATTATTTGACCACACGGTAGATCAGTGTCAGAATTGGGCAAAAACATCTTGAAGGATTTCATTTTAGCCCTCTAAATCAAAAATGTTTACCAATAACATTCAAGCTAGCCCAAACAGTCAGAGATGAATGTTTGAGTACAAACCCCTGACACATCAAAGAATATGCATATGTGTTTAACTGTGCATCTGCTTGAAAAGTTGGGCCAATGTGGAAAATCCTATTATCGATTAAAAAAAAATACAATGGGGACCTCTTCAGCTAATGTGAACCACTGTAATTCTATTGACAGCAACGGATCTGTGCTGACTTACACCAGCTGAGGATCTAATTTCATATGCCTTAGAAAACTGATGCAACCTTTTCCATCGCAGCTCAAGGGTTTTTATACTCTCATGGGGATCAGTTCCATCTAGTAGGTCAGCAGGTGTTGAGTTTGCTTTGAATCTGAAGTCCAGTCACACAGAAGGATACTGGGACATGTGCCATCTAATTTTTACTGACCCATGGAGATTCCCCTCTAGTATGGCTGTAGGATTGATGTATTTTTTCCTGTAGCCTAGTGGGACATTACCTGTTTCTTTGAGAAAGCAGAAATCTTTATTCAAGATATCAAAGTGAGAACCTGACCTGGACCACAAGCCCAGATAAGTGAGCACAATGAAAGCAGAAAGTGTGAACAGAAAATGTTTTGCCAGAAACATACTGAAAGAGATATACAGAAAGGCATTTTCTGGTTTTAGACATAGCTAGACTGATTTGTAAAAAAACAGCAGTTTTAGCAGTTACTCTGCAGCTATCCAAAATCCACAGGTCTGCCCATACCATTTCAAGCAATTTTCTTTTTTAATGCAACAGGAGTTTTGCATTAGTAGGAACCAATATGCTCAGCCCTCTTAACACCAAACAATGAAAAGGTCTAGAGCTGGGATTAGCTCACACTCTGCTGAAAGGCAAGGAATATGTAAAATTGTCAGCTGAGATATACTCTCTGGGGAGAATTAAGCAAACTACTCCAGTTTTGCAAATCTACAAGCCGTACATTAACAACTTTGAAATTAATCCACCAGAGGATACGCACTTAGCTTGATGTTTTGTTCTGGGCATTAAGGAACTTTGGGGAGGTGGGACAGCCCTTTCTGAGAAGGAAGTTTATTTTGAAAGAAAAGAAAAAAAACACTTTGCCATTAATTTTGACAGACCTACTTCTGTCTCTCTAGTAATAACTAATTACCTAACTAGAGTAAGAGATTTCAATGGCCAAATGCAAAGCACTTGCAGGCCCTGCCAGGCTAATCAAGACAATTTCCAAAACGCCAAAACCAGGAACTTCCTATAATAAATAACTTAGCACATTTACATCTCAAATTAGAACATCTGGAAGAAAGAGACTATGCCTGACGCCAAAACAGGCCTTATTGTATCCTACCACTTTCCACCACCTCCTCCGTTCATTTTCTTTAGCCTTTCTGTACAACAAACACTGATCCAGGTGCAAATGCTCAATTCACAAAGAATGCAGTGAACATAAAATTACTGTAGGTTTGGCTGCTAGTAAATCCCTGCTGTTACTCACCATTGGAAGTTGTGCTGGAGGCAACAGCTTTCTCACTGACATCTGTTCGACTGGAGCATTTCACGATGGAATTCTCCACTTTTTTCTTCTCAGTTGTGGTAGAGCTATGGGACTGCGCCTCCATGATGACTTCTCATTACTTCAGCTCTACTTGCACTAATACCTGAATGAAACAAAAGAGTCATAAACTCTAAAGACTGTTTGAAAGCTTAGCCCAAGTTTTCTCACCCCTCTCACCTGAAGAAGAGCCTGGAGCACAACTGAATTAGCAGTTCACAGTTCTGTAAGCTCATCAAATCATGTTTGCATGCATGAATTCCTGAGGAATTTAAAGAAATACTAACACAAAAACTAGGCATGTTTGCCTTTAAAGAGAATCAGCATCACAAACCACTATGCTGTTTGATAGGCAGGTCCATTTTTTTCAATTTTGTGGGGTTTTAATGGATCCAAAGGGAAAAAAGGACAGTATTTTTCTCTTATGCCAAGAGCACTTTGGAACAAGGCAAAAAAGGGGGAAAAAATCAAGAAAATCAAGACAGACCTTTATGTTGACTCTAGAAGCCAAATATTTAAATTTCAACATTCATGGTGTTGGAACACACTGCAGCAGGAATTATCCTGTCTATCTCTACACCTTGTTACTCATGTAAACATCTCTCACTTTGTTTGTTCAGAAATCTAACTCAAACAAAACTGTACAGGCGAAACACCCCAAAAACCACATGGAAAGACAAATATTATTGCTGATGGCAGATAATGACATCACTTTCTTTTGCATGAAAACACTGGAAATAGAAAGCCCTGTAGAGGGGTGTATCTGGTTGCCGTTCTGGATGTTCTCAGTGTCATCTCCAGTGACGCATTCATTTAATACAAATTAATTTCTCCCTATTCTCAGGTATTATACATTCCTGATGGAAATATAAGAAGCCCAAAAACTTGTAAAAGGGTATCACTGCTTGTGCAGCAGTGCAGGCACACCAGGCCCCAAGACTGCAGAGATCTTAGGCTTTGTTTGTGTGAAGGACACAAACATTAAGAATTAGTCTGCAGTTTAACTTGATGCACACCTGTCTATCCAAGTAAGCTTTACACAAAATATCAATATTCAGCACACATCATGCTTAGAGCCAAATACCTTGACACTTTTGTAGTTTGAACATGAATCTATGCAAAACCAACAAAAAATAAGAAATCAGTTTTCTGCTCTGGGCAACACTGCTTGGTAGTGAAATGGGTCTAAAATGGAAGGAAGTCACATTCCTCAAGGACACCATTTAAATAAAATTTTCAAAAGGCTTCAAAAAGCCACAAAGTATAATGAAGTGTAATTATATTAGCAACCTGTTTCCCAAATTCTGACAGTCAAAAAAAAAAAATAAAAAGAAGAAATACCACCAAACCAAAAAAAGAAAAAAAAAAAGCCTACAAAGCCAATTCATCACATACACAGCTGTCTAGTAAACCTACCCCTTCCCACCTTCCTAGTAGGAGTTCTTTTTAATAGTACAATAAAACACTCCAAAGCCTCATTGTTATACAGTAGGGATCAAAGTAGAGCCCAATCACTAAATGAATCATTATTCAGCTAGGCAGCACAGCCAAGAAACTGGGCTAGATATCAGAGACTCTCTGCCACTGACCTACTGTCTAAGCTTTAGCAAGGCATTTTTCTTCTCTTGAGTTTCTTGCTTGCTAAAAACAGGAATAGCAGAACTCTGCCTGCCACAGAAGAGGACTTGTAAGGCTACTCTCAAGATCTATCTGTGAAAGTGTTATAAATATTATTGTGATCTGTGAAACCACTTCCTACCAGAACACTAAGGGGAATGTCAGGTGTCTTCAGTAGGAGAGATCTAACAATACTTAACTTGCAACAGCCCTGACTTCTACCCAGCAATACACAAGTCTCCTTGAAGAGAGATCTCACACGAGCTTTGTAAACAGCACCTTTCCAAATTTCTCATATGACTTCTCCCTCCTTCCCTTTGCACACCTCATGCAAGGGCAACCCCAGTTTAGTCATTTAGCTTGAATATCTAACTTTTCAGTCTCTTGAATTAGTAGACACAGGGGAGGCTGACACTGCTGCCAAGCTGTTCACCCCACAGAGAGGAAGATGTTTGTTTTCTCTATACAGCCCTGGCCACATAAACACCAAAACCTGCCTCAATTCAGCCTCCAACCACTGCATGAGTGAGTTATTCAGTGTACCCTCCTATCCTCTGACTAACCGCCTTTGAGTTATTTAACATTCTCTCAAATTAATTATTTTCTATGCATCGCTGAAAGAATTAAAAAAACTGTATGTTGGGTCATCTGCAATTCAAGAGCAATGTGTGGCTGGTAAGACTGACATCATCCATTCTCTTGACTACTTTATTTTCTTTTCCCAACAGCCTGCCAGTGGTACTTTGGGGTCATTTTCATTACTGGAAGAATAGCAGACATAATTCCATATTCTTCATCACTCTCCATCACTTCTCTGTTTTATGCTACCTGGTATGGACAGAACAGAGGCCTAAAGCAGCACTTAAATTTTTGGACAGAAAACTGCAGAACTGGCCAAGAACTAATATAAACATCTGCTCTTGGTTCATCTGTTCTGGTTCATGTCTACTTAGTTTACATTCAGAAGGCTGCTTTTATTCATGTCAGAATGAAAGAAGGAACACCACTAGAGTAAACTTTCTTACTCAGCTCTGCACCCTGCACCACGAGTCAATGGCCTTTACTCCTGTGCCTTCCTTCCTCTGCTCCCAACCCACACATGTGGCATTGGACACCTACAGGAATTGCTGCAGATCCAGCAAACCCCCAGTGGTGCATCAGTGGTGGTGGGTGTGGTTGGGAAGGTACGGAAGGCCAGAAAAGATAGCAGGACTAATAATTAGAGGGATGTGGTTTGCTGTGTTTTGCCAAGCATACCCCTCAGGGAAGCAGACATCAAGAGATCAATACAGTGCCCCAAAAATATTTTTTTTTTCCTGAAGACTGCCTTAAGACTAAGTTGAAAACACAAGCCAGAAACACACATCTAATCCTCCTTAAATTTGACTGATTTTTGTTTTCTCTCAGAAACTGTACCAAAATATGGGAGCTGTGGTTCACCAAAAAAAAAGTCCAAGGTTATGTAAAGATTTCTTTCTACAAGGAGTTGTTAAGTACGGTGCTACTAGGGGTTGTTAACCCCTATCAGAAAGCATTCTAAAAATCAGACAGCCTGAAATTCTCTCCACACTAAAATACAAATATATAGGGTATATATTAGGGTGTATATGTTTCTCTCTCCAGCGTGTGGATCAGTGACTTTCCTCTTCCTGCCTCCAGGCTTGAGACAATCTGTAGCTACTTGCAGCAAGGATTGCCACTTTCAAAAAACCTGAAAGCTAGTTTCATTGGCTATCCAGCATCTCCATGTGCATATGAAAGGCAAGAAAATGCTATAACAGTATATGGGCAAAAGCCTGAACTTCCATAGGTAAATACAGGGATAAACATTCCTTCCCAAAAGCAAACATTCATGGCTTTTTTCCATTCAACCATGCTTGAACCTTTTGTAATTTCCCTGAAGCCTGAACCCACTGCGCAATTAATTCCAGATCCCCATTTTAAACCTAATCCCTCTCAAAACAGTAACCTGCCTGCAGGTGTGTCTCTTCTTTTTAAAATATAAATGTAAACCTTCCCCAATTGCATATAATATTGGAGGAATTTTAGGAACATGCTACTGGAATGAACTAGTTAAATGAGGAAAACTGTCTCTTTTAAAAGGAGTGTCATTAATCACTATATGTTGGAAATTTATTTTGAACAAAAATATTATTTCAAGTAACTTAATATTATGTAATTTCTGGTCCTTATGTTTGCTGGTTATAAAACTGTGCTGTATAGTAGTAAAAATGATCATATTAATATACTGAGGAGGAAAAAACTCACATCATTTTGTTCATTTACTCACAGTCCAAACTAACCAAAACCAGTGGAGCAGTCCTGTGCTTGGAAGAATAAGAAACTTGATACTTTCTGAACACACATTTCAATTTTCCAAGAAATGTTCACTCTGTATCACTTCTCTTCTCTGAACTACTTTTTAAATAATTTTATTTATACTACATACATTAATTTTAAAGACCAGACCATGCAAATATTTATTGCTAGGAATAGGCTCACTGACTTCAACAAGATTGCTTGCTTTGGTCAAAGTACTGAAGAGTAAGCATTCAAAATTCTCAATTTGCATGTTAAGACTCATTTATGTTTCTTGTGAGCTTAAACCATCTGCCTTCCTTTGCTTTATTTTAATTTTTTGAGGAGTATCTTTTAACATGTTGAATTAAAAAAATAAAAAATAAACAAGTAAAACCTTTCCCTGTTTTACTTGATGCTGCTGTAGTTGTATTCAATTCATTAACAAGTGGTTTGCATCCGCTGAGAAGAGCTGTCTGAAATAGCAGTGTCACAGCATTCATCATCATTACATCAGCAGTAGGGAAGTTCATACTGATTGCTATCAGCAACCAGAGTGCCCCAATCAGCGTGCAAGCAAACATAGCATGTTTAATTTTTCAGAAATGACTCTGGGTAGTTAGGGTGTTCATAGGTACTACTTTGATCCACACTACTGGAAGCAGTCTCTGGGGATACAATACATCTTGAACGGCACAACTGTATGAAAGTGAAAAACACAAGGGGAGGCATGTAGAACAATCAGGAAATTACAGTCTCTCTCAACCATAAAGGACCCTTTATCAATTTTATCAACATGGGTTGCACTGTTCCTTGGGATTATTTAAGGATAAAAAAAAATGCATCTTGTTCAGCTACATTCAAATCCAAAATTTACATGAGACAATCTTAAGCTGTTATATGGGAGCTATTTCACACTGATTTATACAGGCTTGATTCAGGTACATTTAACTTCCAAAACCCGCCTAGATTTCAGTATTGCTTTCTATCAAACCTGCTGGCAAAGCTGCACTGACAAAGTTATTCCAGACAGAACCTGATGAAAAATGTTCAAGCGCTCAGACATTTTAAGAAATATCTCCCATATGTAGCATGAACCACTTTCTATATCTCACCATTTTTGTAACAGCTATAGATTCTAACCCATATATTATTTAGAATGGTTTTATCCCTTCCTAATTCCTTGTAAGC